TCATGCTGCTGTGGTAACTTGGCTGGGGAAGTTTCATGTCCACCCACCTTGGTAACTTTGTTTCCTTATCTTCTGCTTTTTCAGAGGCTTTGAAGTTTCTGAACACCTTAGATAGGCTTTTAGGCTCTGAATCTTCTCCTAACCTTTGGAACACATTCTTAGTAGTTTCTTTTGCAGCAGCTTGACTAATACTTCTGCGGGCATCTTGCTTCTTTATCTCTTTTATTTTGACTAACTCCCGATCAATAATGGTACGTGATGCTCATACCTCAAGCTCACACTCACGCTAACATCTGTGCATAAAACCAGTCCTTTGACCACAGCTGCTTGGGGCTTGTCGAGCAATCTTTACTTCTGTAGGCCTAACTATTTGCCTCATCTTTCCCTTTTCATCCCAGGTAGCTTTTCATTTCCCCTTCTCAACCTAGTTAAGGTTTGTCATGTTAATTGGGACTTCTGGGAATGGATCTATGTCAATCATCATGATACAGGTCTTAGATCCAATCCCTGAACTACACACAATTAGCTATGGAGTGATTGAAGGTGTAGTGAACCTTGCAATACTTCTTCCCTCTAAGTTCTTCAGGTTTAGGTATCATCTTGGTGTTGTCGGGCAAGATTACTATAGCTCTTACTAGTTCCTCATAGATGTCTATAGCTTTAGTTAAATCAAATGAGTATGACTAGTACTTTAGAAGGTTCATAGGCACAAAGTCTTCATCATTCATTACGATCTTCTGGTCTTTGATAGGCTGGACCAGTCCTTTCACCATTAAAAGTTTGAAAAGAATGGTCATCTCTACAGCACATAACTTAATCTCCTCTCCTAAACTGCTATCATTTTCTCCTGGCCCTATGCCTTCATACCCTAATTGGTGTATTGGGGCTTTGTTCTTATAGAAATAAGGCACTTTAGATGAGTGCTTCACTTGCTGTTCCTCTGTTAAGAGCTTATCATACTTAGTGGCTATAATCACCAACTCTTGAAGCTTGTTAAACTGCACATCATAAAACTTTTTCCTCAGATTAGCCTTAAAGCTTTATCGGTAATGGCTATGAGTTAAGCATGGTTGATTGGGAACTGACACCTCATCATGGTTCATCTAAATCTTATCATGAAATCCTTTATAGACTCATGTTCATACCGCTTTACCTCCACCAGATCATTAATGGTCATCTATGGCTCTACCCCATGGAAGGCCATCTCTATTTGCCCCCAATTGGCAATGGACTTAGGGGGTAACAGAGAGTACCATTGGGAGGCCAAGTCTACCAATGAATTTACAAATAGTCTTAACTTATAGTTAGGGTTGTCCTCGAATGCCACACAATGATTTGAGAATATGAAAATGTGATCTCTGGAAGACACAATACAGTCTTCCCCACTAAAAGTTGGGAACGTAGGCATCTTGAAGTTGAGAGGGATATGATTCTGCTTATCAATGTACTCATGATAAGGTTTATGGTATGTTATCTTGATCATTGGGCAGGCTTGTGGTTGAGCATTTTGTACCATCATCCTTCTTAACTCTGTGAACTCATTCCTGAGTTGCTGGTTGGCCAGATTATTTAATGGGGTATAAGAAGTCCTCCACTTCGGGCTACGATCAATGACCCGAAAAAGCTTCCCTTTGTGTGTCTAACTGTCTCCACCTAGTTTCTCCTCCTTTGTTAGACAAAGGTGGCAGTCTTTATGGAAGATGCTTGATTGCAGTTGTGGATAACCTCTTTTTACTTGCCTCTCCTACCGAATCGGTCACATCAATCTTCATTTCTTCCTGCCCGATCTACCTCCTACCATCTGGTGGAAGTAGCAGAAGGTCGGGCAAACCTATCTCTTGAAGCTTTTCCCCTCATTGCTGGCTTATTTCAGCCTCTTTCTCTCTTTTCCCCTTATCTTTCTTTTCCTCAAGTAAGGGAAATAAAGGAATTATTGGTTCCTTTCCTGGGTTTTCTTTCGCGTCTCTTTCCTTGGTATAGCCATCCTTCAGTGTGGAGTACTTTAACTCCAACATTCTTTGCAGCGTCTCGGTTAAGGAATAAAGTCTGCTAACGTCTCTTCTTAGAGAGATTTTCCATACTTCTTAGCACTTGCACCATAATGGCTTACAAATCTTCTTTAGTGATTTTTCCACTTGACTTCTCAGAAGAAGTCGAGCTCTCTAGGATTGCAGGGCTGCATAGTGAAGGGAAGTCTTCTAGATGATCTGCCATGCTAGCTTCTGTTGGACAAGAGGGTTGCCCAAACTCTACCACCTGAATGTTCATTCATTCCTTCTTCTTAGCATACAAAAAATATCAAATGATCCCACCGAGCATGCCAAAACTATGTTCGGGCTGGATCTGTCCCTTGCACAGCTCCTTGAGACTCTTGCCTGTTGGACAAGGTTTGCTACTTGGTGTGCTGCAATATGAATTCGCTGTTAGTTGGAAAGGTGCCTTTGTAGGGCCTTGGGTTAGGCCTTAAAGCTCATAATCAAGACTAACATAGATCTGAGTGTGCCACTATTATCTTTGTATAACAGATTGTTATTTAGTTGTGAACTGGGTTGATAACTTGCGCCACAAGTTACTTAGACTTCTTGATTTATCAATGGATTGTCACATATGGGTGAAGTCTGTATAAAATTATTTTTCTTGCCTTGTAAACAAAGACTTTTACACATAATATTGTATGTCAAAATGAAAGGGGTTCAGGGCTCTTTCAACCATTTCTCTAGTCACAGTTAACTTTAAAGGAGTAAAAGCTCATTAGTTTAGCTAGTTTTGATCACAAATGAGACTTTGAATGAAAAACAGTTGGAAATGATTTAAAAACACAACGAGATATGCATTAAACAACAAATCTACTTTATTTAAGTACAAACAAAGGAGACTTGGGCAAGATTTAACCTTGTCGGGCAAGGTTCAACTTTTTTGCAACCATTTCTCTTTGTGTTATAAGGGTTTGTAGACTTTAGGGAACAAAATGTAAATAGGTTTTACTAGAGGGAATCAATACTACAACATTGGAGAAAGGTAGCAGAGCTTCTAAACTTGACAAAAGATGACTTTCTATGGGGAATCTATGACTAAAAAAGGGAAAATCTGGACAAAAAACAGCTTTCTGGATCCGAACTTGTCTGAGAGCAAAGTTTGGATTTCTTTTGATTGATTGGTTGAGTATCTTTGTCTCTGGTGTCCCTTGCTGCTTTTATAGATGTTTTAGCCGAACTGTCCAAGCTTTGCCTTTAGCTGATAGCTTTCGAAGAATAGTGAGTCACCCTTAATTTACCATCTATACCATTAAAAAGTGCTTTTTTGCTTATGGTGAGGTGCCCTCTGTCCCCCATCACTTCAAACATAGGCATGTGGCCTATGCCTTGTTGAAATGGTTTCCAATCCTTCTTGGGCCTATCGACTTATCCAAGCCCAGTCTCCTCTTTGCTTTTGTATCTTTGGGCTTCCATCCTCACAAGTGTCAAATTTCCACTCAAACAGTTATGATGGTGTTGGGTGTCACGGGCTAGTAAAATGGAGAGAGAGAGAGAGAGAAAGAAAAAAAGAGAGAGAGAGACCGCTGATGAAGGCAGAGAGGGAGGCGGAGGGTGTAAGTAATAGGGAGTAGAAAAAGGCTTTATGGGATAGTTGTATTATCTCAGAGGCAGAAGAGAAGATCGTGACTCATGGGCTTGGAAATTGAGGTAAATCAACGTTCAATTTATTTAGAGAGAGAGAGAGAGAGAGAGAGAGAGGACTTTGAAAGAAAAGGCAGGCCACACCAACAACACAACACACAAGACAAGAGGCTCTTTAACTTGTGAAAACAACAGGTGAGAGTGTGAAAGCTATATCACCCCCATGCACACGTCCCTTGTTAGAAACAATCAAATGTTAAGTATATCTATTATACAACAATTGCACAGTTTATTTCGAATAGTAATTTCACAAGGAAACAATATATATATATATATATATATATATATATATATATCTATATCTCACAATATAAACAATTACAAAACTGAATTAATGAATCACAAAAACACTGACTTGGTTAGGAAGATAACTTGGTTAGGAAGATAGAGGCTTGCAATAGCAATCTCCTAAGACAGAAATACACCCCTACACCAGTGCAGTAGTTCAAATGGACGTCTATCTTGCAGGATACAACTATCTAATCCAAGTTCTTGCACTCGAACTTGGATTCTTGGCGAATTGATTGTGTGGTTCTCAGCGAAATATGGAGGAATGAATATGAAAAAAAATTGATTCTTGTTTCTGATTTTATTGCCCTATATATAATGGCATGATGTGAACTTCTCCAACCATTCATGCTTATCAGTTTTTTAAAAAGAAAACCGAATGCAACTGTTAGAAACTGAACGTAACTGTTCAGACAGTTTTATCCTTTCGGAAAAAACTGAATCCAAAATATCAAAAACGAAACTTGTGTTTTTTGTCCATCCGAGCCCCAAGGCCAAGGCCCATCTTTGACATTTAATATATAAACCTAAACTCTCCAATTCTAAGGCCCAAGGTCCATGGCTTTGGCCCAAATCAATTCAAATTATAAGTGAGTCCATTTACTTATAAAGGTGATGTTAAAGGAATGTTTGGGCGATGTGGGACTCCAAGTCCCACATAAAACATAGTTCCAACATCCCTTTCTTGCTCCTCTCCCCCATATCTACCGCCTCTCCCTTTCGGGAATGCCAACCACATATACACGTGTTTATCATATATATCCTATAATTAACACCCTGCACATGTTAGGCACAAGTTTTGTTGGTACTCATTCATATGGTAACTGTCATGAATGTACGCATGCATGGATCGTATGTATGTATGTCAAGCATGTAACATGCATACAAGTGGTCATGGTGGTCATGACGTTATAAACAAGATTGGGGATGGGGGGCGGGATAGAGGCGGCACACCAATGACCAGGAAGAGAATTTAAAGTGTCTCAGATCACTCTTTTATCCCACAAGAGCCCTCTCTTATATCTACCAAACCATATATATCGCCTTCCCCCTCTCTCTCTCTCCTCTCTCTCTCTCTCTCTCTCTCTCTCTCTCTCTTACCTTTCTTTCACACAAAACACATATTCAAAGAAAGAAAAAAATAGATCCAAGGTGGTGGTTAAGCTGTCATCCGTCAATCAATCAATCAAACCATCAAGAGACCAATCATCAATCAAAAAGATTTTTTTTTTTATATATAAGAAAAAGAGGAATCACATCCAAAAGATCATGTCATCCTCTTCAACCTTGTCCCTCGACCAGCTCCCTCCTTCCGAGCAGCTCTGTTATGTCCATTGCAACATTTGCGACACTGTCCTTGCGGTATCTTTACATATACTCTCTTCGTATTAGTATATAATTTGATATTTGGGTACCTTTTTCCAGAATTATGTATATCTTCTCTTTAATTCTTAACTAGGTGAGTGTTCCTTGCACAAGTTTGTTCAAGACTGTGACGGTGCGATGTGGGCACTGCACCAATCTGCTGCCAGTGAACATGCGTGGGCAGCTTCTGCCTTCTTCAAATCAGTTTCATCATCTTGGTCACTCTTTTTTTTCTTCCCCTAACAATTCCCTTAATCTTCTGGTAATTAAAACAGTTATCTGTTGCTTAATTTTATTATGGAAGTGATTTCTTTGTCATTTTTGGTAAAGGTTTATTTTTTCCCTTTGAATTGAGCAAATCAAGGAGTATTAAGGGAGAAGGGGTGTACGGAAATTATTTCCCTCTTATTCTGACCCTATTAAGTATTGTATGTTTATATTTTAATTTCAAATGAATCTTATATATTCTACTTGAGGTTGCAGGAAGAGATTCCAAATGTTCCGACCCCAAATTTTCTGGTTAACCAAACAAATGTGAATGACTTTGCTGCAACACCAAGAGGTGGAGCTGATGAACATTTTCCAACGCCCGCAGTCATTAACAGACGTAAGTAACTCACAGACAATACACATATATGCCTTAGGAAACTCATTTATTTTTCGGTGATGAAAAAGATATAACTCGGCCACTTTTGATTTATCGTTTCCTCTGAATCCTTGAAGTATACTGATATATATATATATATATATATGATCAAAGGTCCTTTTGTATATCTGGTGGTGGAGAAAAGATCATAACCAACTCCTTTTATGCACTATCATTATCTATATAGTAGTCAACTTTGATATTATACCCCAATACGTTCTTCTTTTTTCAACAAAACCTAACAAATGCAGAATTCTTCTTAGAATTTCATGACAGTCCTTCTCCATACCAACAAATTAGTATCTTCTTTTTAGTGATTAAATGAATATATTAACCAAAGGAGGGCAAGCTCAGATTGTTTTAAAGCCTTCTTGACAATTATTTCCCCCCATCTTTTTTATCTTGCACCTTGAAATTTTTTGAACATAGAGGCCATATACATATACAATGTTACTGTGCTTTCTTAGCATATTAATTAACTATGTTTTTTAAGTCCTTATGACAAAGAAACATCATAAAAGGGAATTTGGCCCCCCGGAATGTAGATGGTAAAGATTGTTGGACCACCTTCGATCTCCTCCCCAATCATGGTTAGTAAAAAAAAAAAAACACTTTAGATGGATGGATGATCAAATTGCATAACATTTAGACTGAGAGAGAGAAAAGCTAACTAATGAAGTGACAGTACATGCAAGATAGGGTTTGGCGAAAGACCCAATAAATAGATCAATACCCCCTACCTATTATTAAGTTTTATTATGATTTTCTAATTAAGAAATATGATTTAATTTAACTTGAATGTCTCTCTCTCTCTCTCTCTCTCCCTCCCTCCCTCCCTCCCTCTGCTTGTTTGTCTGCCTGTGCATGCCATGCCCAGCCCCGGAGAAGAGACAGAGAGTCCCCTCTGCATACAACCGTTTCATCAAGTGAGTAATCATGTCAACTGTCATTCAGTTCTCTTTCTCTCACAGACAAACACACGTAAATAAATTAATAATAACATAAAGTATATACAGTTATTACTTGACCAGAAGAAAATATAGAATATATTGTTATTAATTAATTGATTTATAAACTTGCCAAAATTGATGCAAAATATATGAATGGTCGATTCATCTGAATGTGTATCCATGCAGGGACGAGATCCAACGCATCAAGTCTGTGAATCCTGATATATCACATAGAGAAGCCTTCAGTGCAGCTGCCAAGAATGTAAAATTGTTTAATAATATTTTAGGGTTATTCCTTTTTTAACAAATTAGGGTTTTTGGATTTAGCATAAAACTAGTCCTTGTTGTGTGGGGCCCTTTGATATGTGAACATCTTAAATTTTGCCTTCCTTTTTGTCAGTGGGCTCACTTTCCACACATTCACTTTGGTCTTATGCCTGACCAGACTGTGAAGAAGACAACCATTCGCCAGCAGGTTACCACCCCCCATGCGGTACTATTAACCCATTCTACTAATTTTTGTAGCATAATTAATTTGCTAGCAAGATTAACTAATTAATAACATTATTTTTAAAATATAATTTAATACTAACGTTGTGGTTTTAACTGGGTTTGTGCAGGAAGGAGAGGATGTTCTGATGAAAGATGGGTTTTTCTCTTCAGCTAATAATGTGCGTGTCTCCCCTTACTAAATTGGAGTTTCAAGCTGCAGCTTGATGTCTTTGTGATGGTGGGAGAAATGTTTAAGGTCCAAATGCTTAATTGTGATAATGCCTACGGACTCTAGCTAGAGGTCTTTTTAATGTTGATGACCGGGTTAGATGTAGTTTTAAGATTTAATATCTAAACTTTGCTTAAGCAGAACCCTTGAATTTTGAAGACCCTATCCTTTATTATGTTATGATAATATTGGACACCAGTGTCGGTAGCTAGGTGCTGATGATCAAACCACTACTTTTTCCTGCACCTTGTTTATTTTAAAATCGATTTTTATGTTGTTTGTTTTCCTAACATCCCCTTTATTTAGGAAATGTTATTAGCATTTTAAAAAAGATATAAATTTGTACTTATTTTATACGTTTAAGTTGCATGATAATATTTTTAGAGTGTAAATCACATTTCCCTCTTCTAATCTATATTATCATGTCACACAAACACACGTTAATTAGCATGATCACGCATTTTTTCATATATATACACACGATATGGAAGAGTGAATATGAGCTAGAAAATCTCTTGAATGCATTAGTTATTAGTTTTACTTTGTCTTGCTTTCTTAACCTCTGCACAAATGCAGTTTTGCATGCATGATGCCTCTTGGAAATCCCATAAATATAATTAATGTCTGACGTTATTAATGTGTTCGAATTGGCATGAAGTTATGAACTTAATTCGAGTCAGACCAATGTAAATGGACTTTGAATCTGTTTAACTTGATGCCATGTAAAGCAAGGATATTGCTGTTGAAATGATATGTTTTCACGGCAAGACGTTTAACTAAAGGGCAGATTTATATAAAAGAGATTTCAGTTTTCAATTTTCAATTTTTAGTTTTCAATTTTATAAAAATAAAAAACTTAAACTCAAGGCCCCATTTAATAACAAAAGAAAATAGTTTTCAGGTTTTTGTTTTCAGCTAGTTACCAAACAAGCTTTCATTTTTTTAAATTTTCTTAAAAAATGAAAACAAAATTGAAAAATTGAAAATGAAATGGTTAAATGGCCCTTAAGTTAATAAAAAGATCATATGTCCAGTTTTGAAATTTTAGAGAAAAAATATCACGTTTGTTGAAAATTTTTAAGAACCAGCATGACAATGTATGGCTTTCATAATAGAGTAAATTGTAGCAATGATCTTTTAACTTTAACTCAATTGGAGTAATGGTCCCTCAACTCATCAAAACGTGCAGCTATGGTACTCAACTAAAAATCCATTACCATTGGTCACTTAACTTTAATCCAACTGGAGAAATGGTCTCTCAACTTTAATCCAATTGGAGCAATGATCCCTCAACTTTAACCCAATTGTAGCAATGGTCATTCTAACATAACTCGTTTTGACAAAATTCTGACGAAGTTGATGAAAATAATCATAGCTACATGTTTTAATGAGTTGAGGGACCCCAATTGTAGTAATGGTCTTTCCAACATAACTCATTTTAACAAAATTTTGACGAAGTTGATGAAAAAGACCATAGCTACACATTTTGATGAGTGGAGGGACCAATGGTAATGGATTTTTAGTTGAGTGACCATTGCTACAATTTACTCTTCATAATATATGTGAAGGTAAAAGATCCACATCGAACTTTTTCAAACACGTAGATAATACAAATTGAAAGTGCATGAAAAACTTGTGATCGTTCAACTTCACATGTAGAATGATCATTTGAAGTTCCATCATGTAACTAATTAATTAATTGGCAATATAAACAATGGTCAACTCATATATCACAATATAGACAGACAAACTAAATTTCTCTATGTACGTTTCCTTACTAGTTTTATTTTATAACCACGACATTCCCAACCAAAGAAAGAAAACGGATCATGTAAATATGTGGTTGTTGTAAAATCAACGATATGTGTGCTATGGAATATAAAGTAAATGAGACACAATATTTACGAGGTTCAGCAAGTGTGCCTACGTCCTCGAGTTAGCAGTAGTACTTTCTCTCATTATGTGAAACAATAGGAGTACAATGATAACTCTCACTATTTTCTCTCTTCTCTCTAGCCCAGCTCATTAGTATTTACTTCTGTATCACTCTTCTTTCTTTTCTTCCTCTCATTTCTCTTCTTTTCTTTCTCTCTTTCTTCCTTACTTCCTTTTCTTCGTATGTCTATCTCTCTCTTTCTTCATTTGCTCCTTTGTTTTATAGGTAAAGCTATTGGTAGACAAAGCTTAGTGGGATGAATGGCCATCCACATTGAGTGGCTAGAATTACAATACTCCCCCTTGGATGGCCACAAGTCCTCGATTGGCTATCTTATTGGAATTTCTTAAATAATAACTCATGTGATGAATGGATGGTCCGGAAGAAAAAAATGCTTTGTATATATGGCCAAAGTAGCAGACTCTTAGATGCTCACCCTGACTGATGCCTCCCCCTGATTATAATAAATCTGGATTAACTAGCTTGCCATCATGCGGATGCGTGTTGATCCAATCTTTGAACTTCTGACAATGAAGACTTTATAGATATATAGTTTTGACCGATATGAACATGTAGCAACAAATGTTTGCTTCATTGGGTGTTGTAGGATCAAACTATTTCCATATATAAATACAAATCCTTTCTGTGAATGATACGTATGCAGTTATAGAGAGATTTGAATTTTGCTTGCCCAATAAGACCATGGATATTAGTGAGTTCATTGGAATAGAACAAGCACATGTCTATAATTTCTTAGAGATATCAATAGATAAGCTTTATTTCATTTCAATACCCATTTGTTGGTATTGTGCCCCACAGACAATGTGATAATTGATTCAGTATATTGTGCTAAATACAATAAGGCATATATTTTACTTAAGATATGGTACTTCTGGACTGAATATCAATTCATCGTTTCCCTCACCAGGATGAATGATCGTTCTTAGTGCCTAAAAATTGATTAACCATTTGAGTGTTCAACTCATGATCTTCAATCCACATGGTTTTTTAATACCATAAAACCCTTTTAATGGATAAGAATCATGTTGGCATATTGTTTGATCTGCAGCTCGAGACAATATTCCTTATAACATTTTATAATCTTTCTAGACTCTTCACGAGTCCCAATCTAATATCATCAACTCTTATAAGAGATATAGTATGTTGCAATAATATCATAATGATAGTACTCATTAAGGCAATTTATATCATCCACTGGTATTGAGTACATAATTTGTGCTTTACCTTTCTGGGGCTTATTTCAAGCTATTTGAATCCTTTAGGGATTTTCTACACTTCATGGCACATTCTCCTTTGGAATTTTATACAAAGCAATTTGCTTCCACGTATACTTGAGGGAATTACTTATAGAGATATGCTTCGGGCATATATATAATTCTCCATTAAAATTGAACTAGTTTCACAATGAGAAACTATGTTTAAAGGAGTGTATTATAATTTCAGGTTTGGACTAGGAACCAGGTGTCATATCGTACGAGTGTATTTCATTGTATCACAAATGCCCATATGTAACCTTATAGGTTCAACATCTTTGGCTATTTGTACTATATATAGAGGTCCATTTTTCCACATTCTTATTAAACTGTAATGGAATTGCCTCTCCATTTTTTTGCCAATAAATTTTCCTTTCTTTCTTTCGTTAACAAACAAAAGAATGTGTCTCAATATTAACATAGCTCATTGATGAATTTAGTAGCTACTGTAAAATCAAAATTAACATTGGTAATCATCAATTCGTGATCTCATAATTCTCATGTGCACGTGCATGCATATTTATAAGCATTTCATTATTTTGGATATCCTTGTCTCTTTAGGGGCTTTACATTGTCTCTTCTAGGACAATCATCTCTTATTAGATAAATTGTTGGAGAATTTAGATCATAACCTCCTCTAGAGCGTTATAGAGCTTGAATTTTTAGTCTCCACTTTTGGGGAGTTGAATCATTGGAACTTATATATTCATCATGCTTCATGCATAAGATATATTAAAATTTCCATGTCCATGGATTATCTTTTTGGAACTTGAATCTATGCGGCAACTATCATGCATCAGGCATGCAACAGTTTAGTGGTACCAAGTCCATGGATAGTTTTATTAAGACTTTAATCCATGCAACATCTTTGTAACTTGTTAATGCATTTAATAGTTTATTAGCAATCATGAAGATTGTATTACCTTTACATCATTGGAATGATATAAACTGGTAGAGTTTGCTAAAGCTGTGAGTAAGATTCCCATCATTGAACTTTGGTCTTCCATTCACTTAGTCAGCCACTCAATTTCTCCCTCTGAACTTCTATGGGCTCATTGTTAATGCTTCAGCTTCAGCCTCCTACACAACATAACTGGTGTGCAATCTTTGCCTTTGAATGGTCCTTCAAAGCATCCCTTATTGGTGACTCATCCATACTTGGCAGCTTCTATGTAAAGAGCCAACATCATAGCAACTGTTCTGCGACATTAGAAACTTGAAACCCGGCTCCAACAATATTTGAAAATGACTACTCGAGAGCAATGCAAGGTAAGCAATCAAGCAATGATTCCAGGCTGAAAGTTTGATTTCGGGTTCTGACTAATTCCTTTCATTCTCCTAGTCTTGTAGGTAAAAGCAAATGCAAAGGAAAAGACAAGGAAAGAGCATGATATGAGATACTTTTGCTCTCGACCCTGATGATATGATATACTTTTTCTCTTGAAGAAAAACAGTAGAAGGATTTAATGCTGATGTAAAGCTTCTCGATCAAAAATATTTTCTTACTGAAGAAATGAGTTGGGTATTTTGAGCGACTTGGTTGAAGATGTATTCTTAGAGAAGAGGAAAGATGGGTATTTTGAGAGGCTTGGTTGAAGATAGATTATAGTCAAGGAAGAAGAGTTAAGCATTTTTGGAGCTCTACCTTGCTATGGAGGACAGAAGTCGACATATATAGGAATTTTCCAATAGCAAGTAGTGGTATTGTTGGGATCATCTCCTTCACACTTGTAAGCAACAATGGTGTAATTGGAACAGTAAAATTCACGCGTTTCAACTTTGCTAAAGACATTTTGACAAAGTTATCCTTGATATCTAGAAAGCTGAGATTGTGTCTGAAAAATGCCAATGAAATTAATTCAGGAAAATTTGGCTTTCGAAAATCGAAGAGCAATGCCTCTTCAATTTATGAACAAGTGGCCCTATTGCCTCTTCTTTTATAAGGGCATCAATTGTATCGAAAAAGCATGCCTGGAAAGTTACCTACCTATAAAAATTGCTTATGTTGTATTTCTGATATTTCAATTTATCTAACCTACTTTTCTATCATCATTTATGAAAATGGCTTGCCCATCTAACCGTTGTTTCAATTTGAATGTTGTGAACGATGTGGACATGCTTCTTCAAGACAATATAAAGCCTATCC